AGAACTGGGCTTCCCTCAGTGCCAGGGGATGGACTGGCTGCATGTGTGGGGTCCATTTGTTTGTGTAAGATCGCTGTTATCCAGCACTCTGGGAATCTTTTAGACTAAGCTCAAACATTTTCTTGCTAGCTCTGCAAACAAATGGTGCAGAAAGAAAGGCAGAACTCTCTAGAACTCATCACCCTTGCCCTTCTCAACTTCCCCATTTCTCTGTCTTCTGGGAAGGGAGAGCAGGTAGGTGTGATTCCATAAGTAGGCAGGATGGAGGTAAGCAAAGTTGTTATTGGAAAATTCCTTTCTCCACTCACTTGGTGTGTGAATGAGCATATAGTCACTTTGGTATAAATCCACAGCAGAGCCGGAAGCCAACAGGTCAAAACTGTTTAGGGGCCAATGAGATCAGCTGTCTGGAAAGAACACTGTCCATTTCAGCAACAATAACAAAGATCAGACATCAGTTCATTCATTCATTCATCAAGTACTTATAGAGACTGCTTGAATGGTGTTCTCTGTAGCTGCTCTTTGAGGCCCTCATAGGAACTATTACTTTTATAATGGTTTCCTTCCAGTTATCAGAATGTCAGAGTCCTTACTCATCTCAGGACCAATTCAGAGCCCTTGAAGAGATGAGGTCAATTTCTATTTAAAACTACAATTCTCATTCATTTAGTAATAGAATAGTGCAAAGCACTATTCAAGAATATGGACAGAATATGGATCTCATTTAATCCTCACAACATTTTGAGATAGATTCTATTCCTAATCCTATTTCACAAATGGGGAAATGAAGGCCTGGTGAAGTAATCTGCCCCAGGTTTCACAGCCAGTAGGTAGGTGGTGGTGGTGTTCAGTTGCTAACTTGTGTCCAATTCTTTGTGATCCCATAGACTGTAGCATGACAGTGCTGTCTTTCACCATCTCCTGGAGCTTGCTCAAACTCATGCTATTGAGTCAGTGATGCCATCCAACCGTCTCATCCTTTGTCTCCCCCTTCTTCTCCTGCCCTCAATCTTTCCCAGCATTAGGGTCTTCCAATGAGTTGGCGCTTCACATCAGGTTGGCCAAAGTATTGGAGTTTCAGCTTCAGCATCAGCCTTCCAATTCAGGACTGATTTCCTTTAGGATGGACTGGTTTGATCTCTTTGAAGTCCAAGGAGATCTTTACAGTCTATCTCTTACATCCATACAAGATTACTGGAAAAACAATAGCTTTGACTGTATCACTTTGTTGGCAAAGTGATGTCTCTGCTTTCTAATACACTGTCTAGGTAGGTGGTGGAGCTGAGACTAGATTAGATTAGGTTTCTAGGCAGTCTAACACTAGCGTCTGAGCTCCTGACCTCTTGGCAGCACTGCCTCACTAGACCTGGGAATTGAGATCTTATCAGGCAGGAATTTGATCCAAACAAGGGAAGATTCTTACTGATTCCACTTCCTAGCCCAAATGAACTTTTGGTTCAACTAACTGAAAACAATGATAAGAAATATGCTAATTTGCTTTCCAGTGATTGCCAGGATAAAGAAGATGATTTAGAATCAAGTTGAAGAAAGGGACAGAGGTCATTCAATCCATCTCCTAATTTCTGAGATAGGAAAACTTAGGGACTTATCCAAATTCACACAGTTAGTTGGGAAGAAGAACCTGGACCACAACCCATAGATTCTCCCTCCCAGCCCAGAACTCACTCTTGCACCACTCTCTGCTGAGCCAGGTGCCAGTACTCTCCTGGAAGCCAGGATTTCCCACGATCTTTCCTGACCACAGGCTGGTAAAGGAGCAGACGTCAGCCTCACAGAAGTGGGTTTCTTTCCACCGGAGCTCATTTGCTGCAGCATCAAGCACTCTCCCACCCAAACCTTCTTATCAGGAGCCAGGATGGGCTGTTAATCTGCAGCTCCTAGAGCCCTGTCTACACTCTCTGGGGTGGTGCCTATCATCCAGAAACAGCTGACTGAGAACAGGTCTCCCAGGCTAGCACTGTTTACCAAGTAGAGAAGCTAGGAGCAGAATGGACCAACCAATGCTTGGGCCCTGAACACAAAAAATCCACCTTGCAACTCCTCAAGCAATTCCTGTTCATAGCCCCTGTTTCCTCACCTGGCTAAGGGGAGCTCTCCACTTTTATTGACAGTCAGATCTAAAGTAAATAACACACTGCTTGAACACACAACCCTCTTATGTAAATTGAGGGACTACTAGTCTATCTAGAACCAAGAGCAACCCCAATACCAATATGCCATTCTACGGTTTCCCTGGCTTGGAAAACAGAAGTGGTTGATGGTATCCTCTTAACTTCCAGACAACCCTCCCTGAATTTCAGGACTTTGATTAAACAAAGAAATATCCTTCATGAAAGGAGTCTGTTGGGAAACAAGAACATAGATGCTGATTTTGTACCTAATAAGAGAAGAACAAAAATTCAACCCTAACCTCATTTGTAAGGACCTACCAAAAAAGTAGGTCCTTGACAAATGAGTGCCTAGGACATTGGTGTTAGAAGGTAGCCATGGAAATGGGGCCATTCCTTTTAAACAACTCCTCGACACAAATGGGTCTCTAACCAATTCTATTTGTGATACAGAAGAGCTAGCTTCCCTGACTGAAATCTCCTGGCTCACCTACCCTCCCAGTATATCACACATGGCTTCCCAGGCCTACTTCCCATCAAGGACACCTAGGTCAAACTGCATGTTTGTTGATGAAGGTCACGGGGGTATGAAGTATGCGTATGGTGGGGGTATGCCACTGTTGATGAGTCGACATGTTTAAAATTAAGTTTAAGTACAGTTCACTTATGCTTCCCAGGTGGCAGTGGTCAAGAATCCACCTGCCAATGCAGGAGACGCAAGAGACTCAGGATCAGGAAGATCCATTGGAGTAGGAAACAGCAACCCACTCCAATATCCTTGCCTAGAAAATTCCATGGACAGAGGAGCCTGGCAGGCTACAGTCCGTGAGGGTTGCAGAGAGTCACATGACTGAGTGACTAAGCATCCATGCATAGCCCACTTATGGCCAACAAAAAGATAGCCCAGGTCAAAAATTCACTTGTGACCTCAGTGTGAACCGCAGAGTTAGCAAGTGAAGTGGGCATGGAGAAGCCTGTGTCAAAACCTCACGGGTAGAACCCAAAAGTCAGGGACAAGGAAGGCTGCTCATATGTCCTTACACAGATCCCATCCATACAGTCAGAGTCATAAATGGGTAACAAACATTTGCTCTTGGTGTTTGATGTCAGAAGTAACCACATTTTAATTAACTGGTAACATTAACCTTCTGTCACATGTCCAGCACCAATGCCTGTATCCTGAGGCTCAATTGCTCTCATATAATAAGAATAGTCAGTGTCATGTGGCAGCCCCAAAAGATCACAAGGGAACAGGGCAAGAATTTTTAAAATTCTGCCCCAAACTGGAAAGGGGTTCAGTGTCCTCTGTTCACCATCCCAGTCTGTAAACAGACTGTGTCTTAATCATTTTTAGTATTTTTAGTACCTAGCACATATAATAAATGCTTGTTGAATGAACTAATGAGTATGGCTGAGCAAGGATGCATAAGATGAGCCCTGGCTAGGAAAGTTCAGACTAGATCATGGGCCCATCTAGCATTTTCACATTGAAGTTAGAATATGCATTAAAGGAAGGAAGTAAGAAGCTATTTCCCAGGAAAGAGGAAATGCTTGGAAATGTCCCTACCACCCATGCCACAGGACTTCTGAATCCAGCTAAAGAGAAACACTATGAGACACAAAGGATTTGGATTTGAGGGAAATGCAAATTAGTGATGTGGGAATTTAATCTTCTCTACACCACACGACTTCATCTGCTACATTTTTATTAAAGTAACCCAAAAAACTGTACATGTGTCCATAAAGCTGTACATTCTTCTATATAACACTATTATACAATTAGTAACCTTTGTCTTTTCTGTCAGAATAGCTTACAAATGTATTTATTTTTACTTAATAGGAGAGACAGGCCTGCTCAACAGTCCAGCTCTGGGTGTTTGTTGTTTTTAAAGTGAATGTCAAAAAGAAGAGAGAAAAGATTAAGTATGAAACCATGAGGATGCTTATAAAAAGGCAGGAACCTGTTTGCAGACAAGATGTAACAACATTCTGCAGGGATTCACAGCTTTGTTTCAACCCATATGCCAGAAAATGAGCACTTGGGTCTATGGGCCTGAAGTCAACTTTAAAGCAATAAAGACTGGAAACAGGGCCTGGAAGGTAGTTTGGGATTTGGAAAGTTCAAGAGGCAGAACTGGCAGGAATGGGTAGGGATAGTGTTTGGTAAATAGCACCTTTGAGTCAGAATTGAGTAGTTAAGAAATCCAGGATAGGGGACTGGCAGTGGAGAGAAAAACTCCTCATTAAGGGCAACAGCCGGAGAGCAGTCAGGTTCACCAGACGTCCCAGCTGCGGCCTTCTCAAGGTGACTAGGGTTTGGGAAACTCAAGGCCTTGAGGACCCCTCACCAATGTCACTGAGAAACTGAAGCAATAGGATTTCTTCCCTGTGAAATCTTCCATTTTCCTCAGACCCAGAACAGTAAATATTGCACAAGTCTGTAGACAAACTTGGATTGTACCGAGAGAGATGGCAGCCTCTCCCACGGGTGCTCTGAGCACCAAGGAGAAAAAAACAATGCCCAAGGCTTGGCTGTTAAGAGTCAGTTCTACAAGAATACCAAGTAGTAACTTGGGGCATTCTCTCATTCAGCCAAGAAACATCTGCAAGGCTAAGCATAAAGCCACAGTCCTGAGGACAGAGGGAGAGAGAGTTTCCTAAGCCCACCGGGGCACCAGGAGGCTGTGACAGCCAGCTCTCCTCCAGCTTCTCCTGGGACCCAGGAGGCCATATTGCACAGTGACTGAGAACTCTTATCCTAGAAAATAGGGTCGTTCCATGACCCAACCAGAAGGGGAGGGGGGTGGGGTGCGATTGGTGGTGGTGGGGGTAGTTGGAGAGGAGTGTGTGCTTTTAAAAAGAAGGCAGTAATCAAGGACCTGAAGTTCCCTGTAGCTTTTGAGCTACCTCTCGAAGAGATAATGGTAGCATCATTAGGACTTCCATCTGGTTGAAAAAAGAAGAGTTTTGGCCAAAAAAACATCCCAGTGGATACTCTTTGGATTCTAAAATTCCATTACAAGTCACCCCCAAGTTAATCGCCACACAGAGTAGCACTACACCAAGGCAAGGGTCGGCAGAGAATAATCTTCTGTCCTGACTCCAGTAACCTCCAACCCTGCCTCGCTCCCCTGACCTCCAGAACAAAAGCTTTACATTCTTGGTGGGAAGCAACATCTACAGGTCTCTGAGAATGGAATTAGAAACCAGTCACGATTTCAAGAAAAGCTACTCAGGACAGAAGGAATTAGGAAAGGCCTTTTCATTCTGTGCCTAGGATCTCATAAAAAATAAAAATAAAAGAGAAGATTAGGCAATATAGTATGACTTAAGTCCAGGCTTGCATGCCCTTGAGTAAGAGAGGGGCCAGGGGTGCAGGTGACCTGGCTGGGAGAGTGAGAAGTTTGAACCCAGCCTCTTTTCTCTCCCAGGACAGATTCTGACCTCTCTTGTTCACAGCCACTAATCTTGTTTGCTCCCTCTCACACCTTCCTGGGTTGTTAGCCAAACTTCTCTCACTTCACTTTGGCCAGAACACCATTCCTCCCTCCCATAGGCAGATACTGGCTCCCAGACTCAAGCACACAATTCTCTCCAAAGGCACCTGTGGAGGCCACTTCCAAGCAGCGTTCATTAAGGATTTTTTTGTTTAAAAAATCTTTTGGTTTTTTCCTCCCCTTTTCTTAAAAAAAAAAAAAAATGTATATATATATATAAATAGCTCTTCATTTAAAATACAGTTCCCCAGGTTGAGATATGCAGTGGCCTGCTGCCACAGCAGAGTTGAGTACAGTAGAGTGCCAGGTGGGGCTGGCGAGGGATCTAACTGGAGACTGCCATGATGTAGTTCTTTGAAGGACTGCTCCTGCCCAGTATCATTTGGTTCTTGCAGGTGAGAAGCCCATAGGATGTGGCCACTGGAGCCTCCTGGTACAGGACGCAGATGGAGCCATCCTCCCCAATACGGTAGGACACCTCGTAGGGGTCCACCCACAAGGTCAGCTCACTGGGCAGCAACCGGTGCAGCTGAGGCTGGCTGAGTCCAATCTGGCTAGCCACTTTACTGATGATGGGGTCCATCTTGTGGTTGATGCGGATGCAGCGGTAGCCAGAGCCCTTGGATGGTTTTTCAGGAAACCAATGGTGTTTGTAGTGCTCTGTGGAGACAGGACAAAGGGGAGATGCACTGGTTAGCGCAGCTGGACCATGGATGCAACCACAAGGGGTAGGGGGTAATGGGATGTGTGCTAAGTCACTTCAGTTGTGTTCATGCAACCCCATGGACTGTAGCCCACCAGGCTCCTCTGTCCATGGGATTCTCCAGGCAAGAATACTGGAGTGGATTGCCATTCCCTTCTCCAGGGGATCTTCCTGACCCAGAGACAGAACCCACATCTCTGTCCCCTGCACTGGCAGGTGCGCCACCCAGGTGAGGGTGATGACAGGAGGAGAGGAAAGGGCCTAGTTATTTTAAGTAAGCAACATGGTTTCTCATGAGTTTTATGACCCTCCTGAAACCCTCCTGACATTGTAGCAAAAAAAAAAAAAAATATGGAATCTGGAAAGACCCCTCCTTCTAAGACACGGATGTATGTGTATTGAGACCATGTCCCAGAGCTCTGGAGCAATCCTCTGTGGCCAGTATATTGCCTTTGGCACATTCCCGGTTTAAGGAGCAGGATATACCTGGTGCTGACATGTCCAGGCAGGGCCTCTGGGAACCTCTGAGCCAAAATTTCAAGGCCAAGAAGGCTGTCCTCACTGTCGGACCCACAGCAAGACATCATGTCTCCCACCCAGTGCCTCGGTGGTTCCCTCTGCCTTGAAAAGTCAAAGACCTGTCACAGTGGCTAAGGGAGGCAGAACTGGGATGGTTTAATGAAACATATGTTGTCCCTCAGAAGGCGGGACTGTGCGGACACGTTTAAAGATGGCTATTGCTGCCCAAGCCCGCCAGCCAACAACAGCTAGGAGATAGGTCTCTCCCGGCCAGCGGCTGCTTATCTCTTGTCCACCTCCTCATCTCACGCCGCACCGCCCCCAAGCCCAACACACGCCCGCGGAGCGCAGTTACTGCATACAAGGCTCTCTCGGTACCAGAAAGGGTGGCAGATGGCTAAGGGAGGCCGGAAGATAGAAAGGGGGCTCGGATTCCAACTTGAGGTGCCAGCCACTGCCCCAGGCACGGCGTGGCCCGTGCGGCCGGAAGAGCCTCGGCTGGGAGCCCGAGTTGTTTGGAAGGTTCCACTGCGCCTTCTCGTTCCATAAGGACCCTCGGCTGGTCGGGCTGTCGCCTGCAGGGTCTCGGGTCCAGTGGGGGAGAAAAGCCCGCACGCAGACCCACAGGCACCCCGCTTCCGCGGCACCCAGCGGCGACCCGGGGTCGCAGTCAGGACTCTGCGCCCGCGACAGCGCAGAGCGCAGTACCCAGCCGGAACCACGGCGCACCCGGCCTCAAGACAGGGCCGAGGACCACGACCCGAGGGAGTGAACGGGCCGGGGCCGCTAGGCTGGGAGCCCGCCCTCGGTGGGGACTGAGCCCTAGGGCGCCGGGCCCTCCGCCCCTTGCTCACCCGTCAGCGCCGCCTGGAGAGCCCCGCGGAACACCTGCAGTCGCTGCTCGTTCACGCAGCCCCGAGTCCTCAGAAGGCTGGAGAGGAAGCCCACGGCGGCGGCGATCTCCGGGAGCATGTCTGCTGTCCTCTCGGCCCGGCGCGTCTGGCTCCTGTCGCGGGCCTGAGCGGTCTCCGACTGGACTCGCTGCCCGGGTAGTAGCCTTCTCTCGCTCCGCCGCCGCTCGGCTCTGCCCGGACTCGCCCGGAGACCCGCTTTTCAGACCGCGGCGAGAGGTCGGGGGCCCGCCGGCAGAGGCCATTGGCCGCCGGCGCGGGGGGCGGGGCCTGGCGTCCGCCCCTCCCGCCCCCCCCGCCCCCCGCGCGCTCGCCCCCGCCCCACCCACGCCGCCCCCTTCGCCCTGAGGTCGTCGCCCGCTGACGTCAGTGCTGGTAACGCGAGCTGCGCTTTTCAGGCCGCGGCGAGAGGCGGGGGTGCTGGCGACGGAGGCTATTGGCCGGCGGCGAGGAGAGGGCGGGGTCTGTAGCAGCCCCGCCCCGCGCGTTCTCCCCGCCCCGCCCCCTTCGCCCTGAGGTCATCGCCCGTGACGTCAGTGCTGGTAACTCGAGCTGCGCTAGCCGGCGGGGGAAGCAGGGGAAAGGGAGACCGGGAGCGGCTGGGGTCTCTGGGAAGGAAAGCAGCGCGTCAGGCTGGGCGTGGTCTGACCTCCCCTCTCCTCCCATCCTTCCACACAGCTTAAGGAACACCTCCGACAAGAAGCCTTCCTTGACGCCACCTCCCCCAGGCGGTCCCCTTTTCTGACTCCCACATCTTCAGCCGCCCCCTGTCATAGCCACTCACCCGTTTTACCACTTTCCCACCAGTAAGAGTGGCTTCTTGACTCTCCGGAAACGGAGACTAAGCCTTCTGTTTACTTCTACGATAATGCCAAGCTCCCCAAGTTCTTCTCTTCCTCTCCAGAAATGCCTGTCCTCTTGCGTAGAACCGTGGCCTAGTCTCACCTATGCTGCTTGGTGGGGGTGGCGGCAGGGATGCAAGACTCATTGGGTCTTGCTCTTCCGCATGGGGACCATCCTCAGAACCTGGCGCCATCACAGGTTTTCTTTGAGGTCTGCTAAATGAGGATAAAGCCTAACCAAAACCCCAGGGTTCAGAATACATAGGTGCCCCGTACATATATATTAACATCGAATCAAACCCGATGGCCTCTGTAAATCCTTATTTTCCTTGACTCTGGGGGCAGTCTCCTTTTTTCTTCCCTGACCCCAGATTCCTCTGCCTCCTTCCTCCTTGGTTGCTCCCCTCCTGGCTATTCTGGATCCCTTCCTGTTCCCCTTTCCTCATTATATCCATTCATTCCTCTTCCTTTTCTCTCCACTTTTTTTCCTCACAGAGATCCGATTCATGTTGTCCACTTTGATATTTACTTTGTTTTTACCACTGACTTTCCTATGTGCATGTCTGTTCACATGTCCTTTCATCCCACTCCTATCTGCTCTGTCTCTCCTCTTGGATGTCCGGCCACTACATCAATGTCAGTCTAAAGTCCACTGATTTCTCCAAAGCCAGCCTCCTTCTTGACCTCCATTTCTATCAAATACCACCGGTCCCCCAGTCACTCTACTCAGAAAACTCAGACTCACTTTTGGCTTGTTACTTTTTCATTAGATCCAGTCTCAAGACTTGTTGCTTCTTCATGTCTAGATGACTGCAGTAGACACTATCAAATCCAGTCCCCAAACCACACTTCTCACTGTTAGTAGATTTACTTTCCTAAAGTTCTGCACTCACGTGCTCTTCTTTTGCTCAGATCACTGAGATATCCTCCATTTCTCTACTGCATGAAGTATGGACCCCTTTGTGTAATAGTTAAGGATTTTCATAATTTGGCTGCATCTGCCTTTTTAGGTTTCTGCCACTTTGTGCCCCCAGGTGACTCTCCTCACTGTTCTCTAAGCTTCAGAGCAGTTCTGCATCCCAGAGCCCTCAACATTTGCCCATGATCCCTATCCCTACCCTGTAATATATCCCTATCCCTATCCCTATCCCTACCCCATTCCATGTTCGTATGAATGTGCCTGGCCTTGCTACACTGTGACTCATGTCATTATCTCTTGGATACCTTGCTGCCTCCTTGCTATCTTTCCCAATCCCTCACACTCCTGAAGGCACAGCTTAAGCTGGGTCCTCTACTTTGGAAACCTGTGCTGGCCATTATCTCACTACAGAATTAAGATTATCCATACCATTCATTTGGCATTTATAATCTGTTGTTTGATAAGATTAGTGATCTTTTTAGAGGCTGACATCTTGTTTGCGGACTACTGGAAAACAGGTTACTATGCTCATATGTTCTATGTTTCCAGGACAGTTCAGGTTTCAAATATTCTGCTCCATTGCTTTATAGAGCCCATTAAAATGCCCTGGAATTCTAGTGTTTGGGCATTGAACACGTCTCTTAGATAAGCTCTTCACTGACTCCTCCCAAAGCTGGATCAGACTGGATTAGACTCCTACCTCTGCTCATTGAGGGGGAGACAATGTGTTTTTAGAAACAGGGCTGGAACTGGAAACAAGATAACCTAGAGAACATCAAACAAAAAGACCAGCTGTCAGCAAGACCAGGGAAACAGGTCAAGGTATAAACATGTGTGCAGAGTGATTTAGCACCAAAATCTGAAAATAACATCTTCCTGGGTATGCTGTTGACAGGGGTCTGGTGTTCTGGGCCTTGCTCTAGTCCATAATTGATGGGGGAAAAGTTTTGTGACAGATCATCACCTGCTTTTTGCCTTAGGAAATAGAATTCTGTCCTTATGTAGGTTTTTTATATCACTCGCCAGGTCACACAGCTAGTTCTCAATAGTGCTAGGACTAGCAGATCTGTTGACTTCAAATATCATGCCCTTTTCATTAGACCGTGGAGCCACTGTATTGCTACAGTGGCCCCTAGTCCCACCACATTCCACAGAGCTGTTATTCTAGATGATGATGCAATGAATTGGAGGGGAACATTCTTCATTTTGAAAAAGGAGCAAGGTCTTATCCCGCAGATTCCCCCATTACCCAGGGAGTGTCTTGGTCTCATTTAGTTCCTGAACTTTGTAGAGGGCATTGATAATAACCAGAAAGCACTTTATGTACTTTCTCATCCTCTCTTCTTTCTACACACAAGCCTAGGGAGAGGAAGTTTAATGTATCTAACATGCAAAGTTTCTAAGTCACTTTGCAGAATTTGGATTCTCAATCAGTTTCTTTTAAAGGCAAATACATTAAAATAATCCAAATTACCTTTGGAATTTTCTGCAACTTCCCTTAAACTGCTAGGACCAGGGTCCTGAGAAACTCTGAAGTCCAGATTTCACTTCTGTTGCCTGCTGCCTCCCATTTCTTGGCATAGCCAAGGTATAGTTCTAGCATCTGGATAAGAACCATGGGTCCCTCGCTCTCTCTTCTCTTCTTCCTGTTCCTCTTCCTCCTTACTCATCTCTTCCCCTCTCCCTAAATGCCTTGAGTTGAATTTTGAACATTAAATGTCCTAACACTCTGCTGAACTGTGACTCTACCTACTGCCATGTTGGGCAGGTAGTGTGGAGGTGGAGGTGATGCCAGTGTATGCCTCAACTGGACCAGAAATTTTTCTGTGTGTGTGACCCCAACCCACTGTCTCCCTGGATGCCCATTTTACTCACTTGTGCAGCTTACCTATGTGGCCTCTCTAGAGTGACCCACAGCTTCCCAAACAGCGCTCCTCAGATCAAATCCTTACCCAGAACTGGGTTCCTCTCCTCAGTTCTCATCCCTGGCTTTGTCTGTGGGGTCATCACGCATGCTCTGCTTTCCACTCCCCAATGCGGCACAATCAGATCATTGTACGTGACCATCTCTCCCAGCATCCTGCTGACCCTGCAGGGCCTTAGCTCAGTTTTCAAGACTACCTCCCAGTTTCCTGACCACATGTTGAAACCTGAGGTTAAGTAAAGTTGATTTGCAGGCTGAGGCTGGGCTGTGATCTTCTAGGAAGATTATATCAGCTCATTCTAACACTGTGCAGTGCATAGTTTTACAAAGTCAGTATGTGAGTGTGCGTGTGTATGTGTGTATATATGTGTGTATCAGTGTGGGTAGGTAGGCAGTATATATGAATGTACATACTTAAAAGTATATGATATTTGTGGATAGAAGGGGCTGTGGATATATGTTTGTAGATATTAGCATGTACATAGTATATATTGAAGGACATCATTTTGTGAAGTGTTTATGTTTTGGTGGAGTGTATATTTTGGCAGGTGTGTCTGAGTGTGGCTGGTATAGATGTTAATTTGATCTTTCCTCTCTTCAGGCCTCATCGGTGATAACCTTGCTCTGCTACCCAGAGCTGATAAGAAACATCACTCAGGGAGGACGAATGCCTCTTCTTCTAATCAGAGTGAAAATGTTGCTAAATATATTCATTATTCTTTGCAAACAAACTGGTTAATGTTCAGGACATGTTTTTGAGTTCCCTATCACTGTCTCACAAAGTTGTACCCTTCAAGATCAGCTCTAGACCAGTCAGTCTGAGAGTTACTCTTAGAATCAGGAACAGAAATCAAGGACAAAAAGAAGATAACAGTGTTCCTATAACTTGTTAAAGAAGACTATGAAATTGGGGACATTAGTTATTTTTAAGTATCTGTCTTTAATTCCCTTTCCTTACCCCAAAGTGAACTGAGAACAGGGACAGAAACATGTAATGCAAAGATGATTAGGGTTAAGTGGAAAACTACCCATCTGGACTGAAGGAAGTCTCGGTAAAATATAAATATGAAAAGGACTTTCTAATCCCCTGGTCACAACAATTTTCAAGTCTGTAAGGATCATTTCTGAGAAACTGTTGAGGGTTGGAGAAGAGTCAGAAAGCTAAAAAGTAACCCATTTCTCCACTGGCTCTGAAGGGAGATGCAAAAAGAAGATGCCATTGCACAAAAAAACACCTAAATTTGGCAAGAGAACTTCTTTATAGGAAAGTGAGCAAGTAGGATCTGCTAATCAAGATATCTGCTTCAGGACTCAGATGCTCTGAGGTACACAAAATCTTCAGAGAGAAGGCTGAAGATAGCCACATAGGGTGCTATGGTGCAGGCTGCTGGCAGAACCTGCAGTGGATCACCCTCAGCAGTTTCCCACACAGTTAGTTTCCAAGTGATCAGTAGAAACAGCCATGGCAGATGCAGCCTGCCACCCAACCTGGGAGCCCATCGGACACCTAGTGGCCCAAATAACAGGCCTGCCTAAGCTTTAGCGGGCTTACCTACAGGCAAACTTGGGAGCTGGGGAGGGTCACGGTTCTCCATGGTACACAGTCTCTGGATTTCCTCTCTCTGCCAATTACTGTCCATATAGCTCAGAAGTCACATGTTGGAAGCCTGTGAAACAGACTCAATCACAATATACATTGTTTGGTCTGTATGGTGCTTAAGCATTTAAAATATTAGCTGTCAATTTTTAACTGTTAAGTAGTGTTGCATCAAAATAAAACCCTAGAATTATAATTTCTCTTTAAAAATTAGCATATTTGTTTACACTGATTCCACATTCTTATTTACTGATGACTGGTACCTAAGACAGGGAATGTGTCCTTCAATTTGTCCAGTCCCCACCCACTTGTTATAGCATCTTTGCTGAGACCAAGTCGTGATTATCACTTACCATGGCTGGATGCTGGGGTTTATTATTATTACTTGATAGGAAATTAGGATTTATTGGTGGGCATGAGTAAGGAGGGGATAACACCGAGGATCTCGTGAGTACAGGGCCCGCCATTTGTCCAGAGGCCACAACTAGGGATGTATTTGAGCCTATAGCCATTCAGGATGAGCAGCTTTTCTGCTACACTGTCTTCAAATTTATCCACATTAAACTTAATGAAGCCCCACTCCTTGGAGATGTGGATCTTCTGGCAGCCAGGGAACTTGAACCTGGCCCTGCAGAGTTCAATCATATGCTCCTTGTTCTGCAACTTGGTGTGGATGGACATTATGACTTACTTGGCCAATGTGGACCCTGGTCACTGTGCCCTGGGGATTTCCAAAGCCACTGCACATACCTGTCTGGAGCCTATCAGCTCCAACACAGGACAACATCTTGTTGACGCAGGTGACAGGGAAGGGTTGGAGCCACACTCGGATGTGGAAGCCACCTTTGCCATAGCTTTTCACCATGTACTTGTTGGCACAAATGCAGGCAGCTTCCAGGGCTTTGGAGGAGAGCTGCTTATACTCATCTGACACCATGTGGCCACAGAGTGGGAACTCATCCACTTTTGCCTTCTTCCACTGTGGCTTGTTCGTACAATGTCTGTAACACCGGGCGGCGGCAGCGGGGGAGGGGGGCAGTGGCCCATGGTGACACCAGGATTTGCAGTGGTGAGCCAAAGGGAAAAGGCTGGGATTTATTATGATTTTTATATACTGAATCTTCATTTGCATTATCTACCTTGATCCTGGAAGTGTTAGAATTAGCATCTCCCAGTACAGAGCAAATGTCAAACTATCAGCTCTAACCCTAACTTTCCTACTGAGCTGCCAACTGCTTTTTATTTCAGTTGAGAACTGGACATTTTGAAATATTTTTTTCTGGTGTTTTAATCTCAGTCTGTAACAAGCCTGTAACAGGAATGTTAATGCTATTTTGAGAGAGAATGAAATCAGAAGTTGAGCATAAGGGAAAAAATTACCTTGCTCAGTTTAGTTCAGTCGCTCAATAGTGTCAGACTGAACAAGTCAAGATACATTTTTCCTTTATGCACAACTTCTGATTTCATTCTCTCTCAAAATAGCATTACTGTTCTTTGTCTAAACACCAGGCTGAGTTTGGCAGGCATCTTTAACCCTACCCCTCCTGATCAGTTTCCAAGGCCTAGAGTTGGACCATAAAGAAGGCTGAACATCGAATAACTGATGCTTTCAAGGTATGGTGCTGGAGAAGATTCTTGAGAGTCCTTTGGACAGCAAGAAGATCAAACCAGTCAATCCTAAAGAAAAATCAACCCTGAATATTCACTGGAAGGACAGATGCTGAAGCTGAAGTTCCAATACTTTCGTCACCTGATGCGAAGAGCTGACTCACTGGAAAATACCCTGATGCTGGGAAAGATTGAAGGTAACAGGAGAAGAGGGTGGCAGAGGATGAGATCGTTAGATAGCATCACCGACTGAATGGACATGAATTTGAACAAACTCTAGGAGACAGGGAAGGACAGGAAAGGACTGGTGTGCTGCAGTCAATGGAGTCACAAAGAGTTCGACATGACTTCGCGACTGACCAACACAACAACACAACTACATTTGCAGCATCGTTCCTGCTTTTGCCTTTTATCGTGGGCAAAATTCTCCCTCCCCAGTCCTTCTGTTTCATCTAGACTATTGCCATAGCCTACTGGTTACCTTATGGCAGAAAGTGAAGAAGAACTAAAGAGCCTCTTGATGAAAGTGAAAGAGGAGAGTGAAGAAGTTGGCTTAAAGCTCAAAATTTAGAAAACTAAGATCATGGCATCTGGTCCCATCACTTCATGGCAAATAGATGGGGAAACAGTAGAAACAGTGGCTGATTTTATTTTTAGGGGCTCCAAAATCACTGCAGATGGTGATTGCAGCCATGAAATTAAAAGACGCTTACTCCTTGGAAGGAAAGTTATGACCAACCTAGACAACATATTAAAAAGTAGAGACATTACTTTGTCAACAAAGGTCCATCTAGTCAAGGCTATGTTTTTTTTCCAGTGGTCATGTATGGATGTGAGAGTTGGACTATAAAGAAAGCTGAAAAAAAAAAAAAAAGCTGAGCACCGAAGAATTGATGCTTTTGAACTGTGGTGTTGGAGAAGACTCTTGAGAGTCCCTTGGACTGCAAGGAGATTCAATGAGTCCATCCTAAAGGAGATCAGTCCTGGGTGTTCATTGGAAGGACTGATGTTGAAGCTGAAACTCCAGTACTTTGGCACCTGATGTGAAGAGCTGACTCATTTGAAAAGACCCTGATGCTGGGCAAGATTGAGGGCAGGAGGAGAAGGGGACGACAGAGGATGAGATGGTTGGATGGCATCACCTACTCAATGGACATGAGTTTGGGTAAACTCCGGGAGCTGGTGATGGACAGGGAGGCCTGGTGTGCTGTGGTTCATGGGGTTGCAAAGAGTCAGACACGACTTAACTGAACTGACTGACTGTTCTGCCCTCCAGTCTCTCTTCTCTTCAATCCACACTGAAGATTTGCCAGAGTAATTTTCTTTGAACAATATCCTAAACATGTCAATTTTCAGCTTTTAAAAGACTTCAAAGGCTTCCCATTGCCTACAGCATTAATCAAGTATCCCTTATCTGGCATTCAAATCCCTGCACCCTAGGACTTCTTAGTATAGCAACTCAGATCACTAGAGAGTTTGGTAAAAATTCAGATTAAGCAGCCTCTTTCTTCCTTGAGGTTCTGATTCTGTAGTTTGAGATGGGATGTAGGCCTATTTGTCATAAGAACCCAGGCCATTCTGATGCAATGGTCCATGAACCTCACTCAAAACAGCCTGTCTCAGAGACACTCTTAGGCACCGAGACACCTGACACAGCTGCCCAGACACCGTGATCTGCATCAGCCCTTCCGTTGCTGCAGCACCGGGCTCATGACTGTTAGCTGAACTGGTGGGGATCAGGCCTATGCAAAAGGTGGTCTGTACCCCCAGACAGCATTCTGAAGGCAGTCCCCAGCCACCTCAGAGACACCTTGTTTATCCTTTCTTTATTTATATTATTTATTATTGCTGTTGTTTTGGCTGCATCACATAGCATACAGGATCTTAGCTTCCCTGACCAGGGGTCGAACCTGTGCCCTCTTCAGCGGACTGCCAGGGAAAGCTCCCTCA